TTCATATATATTTGTGTGTCAAGTGTTTTTTTTCCTAAGCCTTAGAAATACAGTTAACATTTTAAATGCTAAGGAAGTACTTGAAAGGCACTTTTATACTTATATCTAAATAATAATATACAATCAAAGGATGAAAGAACTAAAAATGAATTCAAGGAGCTAAGATTGATTATAAAGGAAAGCATGATAAATTTGTTGAGCTTAGAAGAATTTTAAGTAGAATATAACTCAAACTTCACTTATTTTAAAGGTTCAAGAAAAGCATAAATTCACACAGGTCTTAAATATCAGAGACAGACACAGACGCCAGTCCTTGACTTCTGAGCTCTCTCTACGGCCACTTACAGAGCTGAGGTGTTTTATCATGCTTCCTCTATTTTAAAGAGAGAAGCAGCCTATAGAATTTTACTGATTTAAGGATGATTAAATTGTTTTAGTAAGCATATATAAATATGGATTATTTTAATGGTGCTGAAATGCCAATCTACTCTGCAAAGTCTATCCTGAAAAGGCAGGCTTTGACAGGTTTGATAAATAATTTGTAAATGTAAAATCTCACATGATATCAGGAACATTAAATTTATTTGTTGCACACTGAAAAACTCAGTCTTCTTAACATAATAAAATTATGGCTAAAAACATAACAGTAAAAACATATCTTATTATAAATGTGGTGCTTTTTCTTATAAAGCTAACCCTTCTTTTACTGAAACTAAAAAGTACCATGAACAGGGTCAGTGAGGAGGTTCACTGGGTAAAAATACATGCTCCCAAGCCTGACATCCTGAGTTTGATACCCAGGACCCACGTGGCAGAAGGCAAGAACGACTGACCTCTGTAAGTGACCTCCATGGGTGATGTGGTAAATACGTACTCCTATACATATATATGTGTAGACATAGTAAATAAAGAAAATTTTAAAAACCATAAATAGTAAAATAAATAAATAACAAATAGACAAATAAATGTTAAATATTGAAACAAATCTTTTGATAGAGAAATTCACAGACTTGTTTTATTATTGCTTCAAGAAGAGAGGTGTATTTAACAATATAAGCCAAGGGTTAGGGAGATGATTCAGTGGTTAAGAGCATTGGCTGCTCTTGTAGAGGACCTTGGCTTAGTTCCCAGCACCCACGTGGCAGTTAACAACTGTTCATAACTCCAGTTCCATGGGATCTGATGCCCTCATTTGGTCTCTAAAGGTACTGTGTACGTGTGGTACACTTACAGGCAGGAAAAACAAACCAAAAAATAATATAAAAGAGTATAAGACAAACCTACTTTCAGATTAGGCAAAAACTAATTGTTTTATTAATGATTGGCTTTTCGTAAAAATTATCATCCATAGATCTGTATGATCATGAGTGATTTTCTTTCTTTATTGAATATTTTTCATCTTTAGAAAAACTAGTTAAGAAAACAATAGGAAGCAGAAATAGACTTTCTAATATTTTTATAAATAAAATATACAGTTTTCTCTTGGTTGACTACTGTTCCTCTCCTATCTATGTAAAACAAAATAAGCAAAAACCAAACTTTTAAAAATGCCAATATTTTCCTGATCCTACTCATGAGTTCACAGAAGTATTCCTCACCTACCTTGGTAATGACTTCATGAAGGTTGAAGAAAGGATCCATTTCTTCAATTTTTGTTGCATGTTTAGGAAAGATGGCCTCAGAGAGAAAACTTGGACCCTGTTGCAAACAAAAGAGAAATCTTTATTGATTTTTTTTCAAGTGCTTATAGAATTTTCTTTACAGATCTAAAGGACTCCAAATTGTTTTAAGGTTTCTGTTAATTCTTAAGCTTCACTTGACAGATCTAATTATCTATCCCAGAATGCTTGCAAATGAAAATGAGCAGGATTCTATAACTTTCAGCATTCCATGTACTCACATAGTAGTGTTTGCTTAGTAAATAAAGAAAAGTCTTGATACTTCTCCTATTTTCAGCTACCTAGGATTTTCATTATAAACTTATATACAGATGCCTTAACTACAAAAGCCCTATGGGAATTACCTTTTCTATTTCTATGTGAAATGTTTATGGCTGGAAATTGCAATATCTTTGATAATCATGACTAGCTAGAAAAACCTAGGCAATATGTACATGATATTTTAATACCATCTTAACTTCCAAACAAGAAAATATATTTTTAGAAAGAAATCACATTTGACTTTGTTAGCAATAAAAAGGTAAAACATAGTATTGGAAACTTAGTGATAAAATTATTGAAATATAGTCCAAGAATTCATTTTGTACTTACTGGTATAGCCAAGTTTTGGGAGGCATAAAGACAAGGGATGCTGATATTGTGTCTATCTAAATCTATGCTATTGCAGTTATCAATATTATTAACATCTTTAATAATGGCATCATTCAGATTGTAATCATAGATGTAATCACTTAGGAACTTGAAGTTTAACTGTATAAGAATCAGAATATTTGAACATGATACATACAGATATATAGATAGGTAATAGATACATATATAGATGATAGATAGATGGATGAATAGACAATAAAAAGTCTTAATAGACTGAGAATCATTCTCAAAGATTTTTCATGGAGATTCAAAACAATCTGTACCAACAATGGTTGAAGCAGTGATGAACTTAAGCTGTACTCTTGTTTGCTTTCTGTTTCCATTGGTGGGGAAACGATGATCAAAAAGGCTGTCGTTGTCCTACGCTTCCTTGTCACAATCCATCAAAGAAGAACGTCAGGGCAGGCACTCAAGCAGGAAGGAGAAGAAGCAGAGCCCAGGGAGGAACGTGTCTTCCCGGCCTCCTCACAGCTTCCTTTCTTATACAGCCCAGTCCCTCCTGCCTCCTCCTACATCAATCAACAATGAAGAAAATGTCCCATGGGCATGCATGCCCACAGACCCATCTTATAGAGGAAACTCATCAACTGAGGTTCCCCCTTCCCAGGTGTGTCAAGCTGATAACCAATATTAGCCGTTATATGCATTTTATTGGACTATTTACTAGATACACCCAATAGCAGGGTTATCAACCAGGAATGAGAAAGCTAGAGTTACATAGTGAGAAGGCTTTGAAGTGATGTGGATGGGAACTGTGTTTCAGCTCCCAGTGTATTAAACAATTCTGGGACAAGGCACACTCTTTACTGCCTGCCCGTGCTGACCTATCTGCTTGCAGCAGCATATTCTGAATAGGAACATGAATCCACTAAAAGGTGCACACTTCTTATCACCATGGTGTTTCATATTCCTCTTTCAATCTTGCCGGCCAAGGTGAGGCAAATGTTTGAAAAGTCTGAAGCATCTCAACCAGTTCTCCAGTGAAAATTTCCTATGACTCAGTGTGGTGAAGCTATTTCCTCTGAATGACAATTCTCCCTCCTGGAGAGAAGTGGGATATCATGAACATTTCAAAATTGACAAGGCTCCTCCCCAAGGTCACATGAGCAGGAACAAAGTCTGGGGTGAGGAGACACTGGTGATGCTGCCTGCAGTGTGTATGGGAAGCTGCAGGGATACAGCACGAGTCACCCATGGCGACATGGGCTTTTCAGAGACGAACCTGCCTTTGAGTCGTACATGTTCCTGTAAGCAGCCACTCATCATGCACTTCTAAGTTGCCCCAACAAACTCATTTGTTTGCCAAGCTAGACTTTGGTCTGACATCTGCCTTATCATGTGCACACAGACACTTGTTCATGTCTTTCCAGAAGAAGTCATACAGCATCCAGGATTAAAGTCTAATACATACTTGGGTCCTTATTTACAAACTCTGCTATGGCAGAGTATTAAGGGTAAAATAGTCTGCCTCAATAACTCCTATACTAAAGTCCAACTCTTACTATCCTAGAATGTGAACTTATTTGAAAACATGGTAGCTTATATAAGTATCTAGGTTAAAATGAGGTCACACTAAAATGGTTTGGGTCCCTAATGCCCCAGGATTACTGTCCTGTGAATAAGAATAAATTTGGATCTATTTACCAAGTATCTATATATCTATCTGTCTGTCTGTCCATCTGTCTATCAAGGAATACCAAAGAATACATGAAAATCACCAGTGTTAGGAGGAGACAGATTCTCAAAGATCTTAGACAGACATAACTAACCCTAGCAAAGGGGTTGTGGAACAATGATATGCTATTGTTGTTCAGTTTGAGAATCATTGATCCATATCCCTCAGCAGATGTCACGTGGGATATGTCCACACAGCAGTAGCACTAACAAACTTGTTTATACTTAGCCATGGATTTGGGGAAGTACTTTTGGCAGTCAAAATAGTCATTTAATTTTTCAGCTTAATAATCCAAACTATCCTATTCTTCATAAGATACAAAACCTCAGGTGATAAACTTAGATAAGAACACATATGTCTATGTCACAGACGTGTGATGACTTCAGTTCCTGGTACATGCAGATGCCATAGTAATGAAGTCATAGATGTTGCTGACAGTATTAGCATTGGGTGATGATAAGGAGGTGGGATCGGTCATTACACAAGCATTACTTGACAAGAATATTACACAGAGGGGCCAGAGAGACTGCTCAGTGGTTAGGAGCACTGGTTGCTCTAGCAGAGAAGCTGGGTTCAGTTCCCAGCACCCACATGGCGGATAAGAACCATCCATAACTCCAATTTCAGGGGCTCCGATGCCCTCTTCTGACCTCCACGAGCATTGCTTGACCTGGGTGACACATACATGCAGGCAAAATATTCGTACACATGAAATAAAATAGAAGTAATAAATAAAATTTAAAATATTATATAAAGGATTTCTGATTACAGTAGGTAAGGCCTGCTCTTATGAGAAAGAGTAACCAGTTTGTATTTTGTCCAAATGCTGATAATTTTGAATCTAAGTACAAGAGTGACATAAATTATGTCATACACCATCGTTTAACAATTTGTTTTCCCTTCTGCCCACGCCCCCATCGTTCTTCCTCCACTCTGATCATCCCTCCTCTCTTACCCCATCGTTCTTCCTCCACTCTGATCATCCCTCCTCTCTTATGGGCTCTTTTCCTTCCCCGCCATCAGAGAGCCCTCTTGTTCTCATGTCACAGATTTTTAGAATGTACGTTCTGCTTATGCGAAAACATACACTTGATCATTCTTGATCGTTCTGGCACTACTTGATCATCTTCCCACTGTCCTCTAGTCTCTCCTTCCTTTATACTGCCGCCTTGGCCATCCCCGTCCCCCTTCCACATCTATGCCATATATGTTTATATAAATACATATAGTACTAGCATAGATGTGTATTATAAAACTGAATAACACCTGGATATCCTATCAGTAAATTTCAAAAAGAGGAATATGGTCATAAATATTCTTCTAGGATCTAGAAGGAACTTCGATTCCCCTCCCAAATCTTTAATTGTTTAGAAGTATCTACCACGCAGTTTCCAATGTTTGCCTGGAATCTATTATTTGAATAATCTACTTCTTCATAGGCAAACTGTTCTATGTCTGTGATTCAGTTTCTTTTCACTACAAATTTCCATGCTGTTTCTCGGTGGCCTAACCTCAATCGTCTTTTCACGGACTGCCTGGGCAGGTTTGGGGATTTGTTTGCTTGTCAATTTCAGACTGATGGCTCTCAAGGCTTTTTCTTTGGTTCTGATACCTATGTTTTATTCATTGTTTTTGTTTGCCTATGAGACCCCTCGGACCATCAACAACATATGTATAGTCTCTCATGTGCCAGCCCACCATATGTCTGCTACCTCCATTGTTTATCCTGGATGACGGCATATGAATTTTCCCACACAATATACATCTCTCTCCTCCTCACCTTGATTTAAGTCTCCTTCTGCCTGGCAGAGCTATGCAGGCCTCTTTCTAATGTGGAAATGTCAGTGTTTCTCAACAGTTCTCACCCGTTAGCTTACTTCACTTATTACCAATTTCACCCCAACTATGATCTAGATGTTAAAGATCAAACTAATTTATAACCATCATGCAGCCACGTCCCGTACTGTCAGTCTTTCTCTCTGGCAAGCTGACTTGCACCATTATCATATCGTATCTGCTTCTGATACAGCAAGATGTTCACCAAATGGAGTCTAAATCAGTCTGGACTCTACCGTACCCTACTCTGCCTGAACCCTTATTTGTGGTGTTTTTATTCTGTTTGGATTTTTCTCCCCAGTCTGTTTTCCAGGCTCTTCACATAATTATTTCACCAAGCTATCACATTATGTTTTGCTATGCTTCACACTGTATCATGAAATTTTCAAAACCTGGAGTAGAATAAGAGATACGGTGAGACACGCAAGTATAGACAGAGGACTTTGCAGTTAACAGAGTGAGATGAACACATGGCTAAATCGGGCAGTGTCCTGGGAAACAGAACAAAGTCGATGCATGTTAGGAACTGAAGTTGTTGGTGCTTGGTAATGAGTGAGATGTGGAAGTATTAAAAAGAAGTCAAAATTGCAAGTATTTCTAGACCTGATAGAATCAATAGGTAAAAATTGTACTTAGAAATTATGGAAACACATGAGGTTTATAGCAAAAAAGACATCAGATTTTAGACCCTCGGGGCAGCCATTCAAAGAAGTCATCCAGAAAATAAGCTGCAATGTCTGTCTGAAATGAACACAAAATTATGGATTAGAGTAAGAACAATTTTGGAGATATGCATGTAGAACTTAGCATGTAATGAACCTCACTTGTAGACAGGGCGTTGCATATAAAGACTGTAG